GTTATTGTTGATGCGATCGACAATCATAACTTTAGTTTTGCTGCGATTGATCAAGACTGACGTTTTCCATCCTTTGTAGGAGTTCTTCCATATGGCCGATACTAGTCGCAAATAGGGTAGTGTCATCCGCGTATCGTAAGTTCGAGATTTTCAGCCCTCCAATTGAGATTCCATCAGTCCAGTTCTCGAGAGTGCGTCTCATTATTAGCTCTGTGTAGATGTTAAATAGAAGTGGGGAGATTATACATCCTTGACGAACGCCAGCACTAGGATGAAAGTGATCTGACAGCTTGTCGTCTGTTCTTACGGATGCAGTACCACCTTCGTAAAGACACCTGAGCAGATGTACCAGATGTTTTGGTGTGCCCATTCTCAGCAGGGTGTCCCAAAGTTTAGGCCACTTGACGGAATCAAATGCCTTGGAAAAATCCACAAAGCAGATGTATGTTGCCTTATTGTACTCGCGGGATTTCTCAATAATTTGTCGCACGATAAGTATTTGCTCCCTGGTACCCCTCCCTCTAACAAAGCCAGCTTGCTCTGGAGCAATCTCCTTGGACAGGTAGGATTTCAGGCGCTCGTTTAAAATGTGCAGCAAAATTTTACTTGCATGAGGAATTAGCGCAATAAGGCGATAGTTGCTACACACTTTCGTAGAACCCTTCTTGTGAAGTGGAACGCAAACTCAGGGAGAAATAAATGCCTGACGAAAGTTATTAGCAAAACTACATGCAGATGAGAACTGGGCTTTAGAAGTTTTTTCCTGCCTAGAAGTCCGTCTGAGTATTAACCTTCCTTATACCAGTTTCCGTCGATAAGTATAAATACAGGCAATAAGGCATTCGATCTTAATTTTCAGAGCTAAAATATCTGTAGCCTTTGTTTGAAATTGGCTACATGCATTCAAAGACTGCAATAGCCTTTAGGGGTACTGTTAGTTTATTTATTACCTCAGTTTTATAACTAAACATTTAATCTTTTGTACTGCTTAGATCACTAACAGCTCTTATTACGTCTAACATATATTATCATCACCAATAAAATCGCTTTATTTATTTAAAGTTTCGATTTAATTCTACGCAGAAATCTTAATGAACAGCCATTGTATGAAACTGGGAAGTAAATAAATTTTATTTTTTTAATTATCTGTTTGGTGCTTGACCGCAAACATACCTGGTGGTAAATGATGATGAAGTCCTAGATGGTATATCACTCTATCTTAGCATAAAAAAACTATTTCATCTTACCTTGAAGACGCTCTGATTTTATTTGGACGGAAAGTCCGAGGCTGGCAAATTATTTCATCCTTTGCTGTACGTACAGTCGTGGAACAATTTGCCGACGTCTATGGTATGTTTACGGGGATATTGCGGGCAATCGAGAGGGCGGAAGGTGTCCCTCAAACAAGGTAAATTTTATTTTATGACGCCGATCTATGCCAATTAATCTTTAAAATCTTTTATTATTTATCATTATACGCGCGTATTTTTCTTTCGTAAATATTTTTAGATAATACAGCAAAAATCGACAGTAAACAGGAAAAGTTTAATTCCCGAACATCTTAAGAAATTCATTAACGCCATTTCGAATTTACTGAGAATACGAGTATAGCCCCGATCTTAAGTGTTAATAAGTATCTTAGCTAACTTAAATGGGAACAGAAACACAGTGGGTGGAATTGAAAAAGTTTCCTTGTTCGAGCCTACTTGTGCACATGTGTATTTCTAACAATTCGGAACATACGAGTGGGTGAAATTTAATTAATTTTATTGTTCGCTTATTGTACCCATTTTCAAACATTTGTTTAAGTAAACGTGTTGAAATATAACTTGTTTATTTTATATAAACACGTATTTCTCGAAATCTAAAAAAACAAGAAACCGAGGAATTACACAAAGCACGGTCCTGAGTCACCTGCATCTAATTACTTCCTGCATGTCTTACCAGGTCGTCACTCCATCAAATGGGGGGTCGCCCTACACTACGCCTACCGGTACGAGGCTTCCATTCGAGAACCTTTCTTCCCCATCGGTTATCGGTTCTCCGAGCTGTATGGCCGGCCCATTGCCACTTCAACTTACTAATCCGTTGGGCTATGTCGGGCATTCTGGTTTTACTGCGAATATGCCCATTTCTGAGTCTATCACGCAGAGAAACTCCGAGCATAGCCCTCTCCATAGCTCACTGAGCGACCTCGAGCGTCCTCATACGGCCAGCAGCGAAAGACTACGTCTCAGATCCGTATGTCATCACTGGCAACACGCACTGATTGTACAATCTAGTTTTCAGAGTTTGAGGTATACCTGACGAGAAGATGTTACGACAATTTCCCTAACGCTGCCCAGCCGAGTTGAATCCGTCGATTGACTTCTCGGTCGCAGTTGGACTTACCTAGTCGGACTATTTGTCCCAGGTAAACGTACTCGTCAACAACTTCGAGTACAGTACTCCCAACAACTACCGGCATAGGTGTGACATGGACATTACACATGATCTTTGTTTCGACAACGTTCATCTTAAACCTATCCGTTGGGAGGCACTTTTGAGGTCATTAAGCATAGTGCTTAGGTCCTCCAGCGATTCTATTATAAGGACTATATCGTCGGAAAATCGAAGGTGAGTGATGTACGCGCCATTGATGTTAATACCGTATCCTTTCCAGTCCAGTAGCTTGAAAACGCAGCGGTGAAGAGTTTCAGGGAAATAACATCATCCTGCCTTACAGCTCTCTGCAGTTGGAGTACTCTGGTTCTGTACTTGGATAGCCATCGTAGCCCTACTGTACAAACACTTCAGCACTTCGATATATCGACAGTTAACTTAGCACCGCTGAAGAGACTGTAGCACTGCCCAAATTTCGACGGAAACAAGGGATTTCGTATAGTCTACATACGCAAGACACAGTGGCAGATTGTACTATTCAGTCTTCTGTACAATTTCCTGAAGGGTATGTATGTGGTCTATGGTGCTAAAACCTATTCCGAAACTGGCTAACGTCCATGTCATACCTATGCCAATAATGGTTGTAACCACTAAGCTTGAAGTTGTTGACTAGTATGTTTACCTGGAACAAATAGTCCGACTAGCTAAGTTCAATTTCGGCGAATTCAACTTGGCTGGGCAGTGTTCGGGAGATTATGACACATCTTTTCGTCAAGCATACCTAGAAAACGAGATTGTACAACCAGTACATGTTGCCAGTGATGACCTATGGATCTGAGACGTAGCCCTTCACTGCTGGCCGTATGAGATAGATCTAGAACGATCAGCGAGGTGTACAGTCTATGCTCGGGATTTCATTGCGTAATAAACTTAGAATGAGAATATCCAACGTAGAGTCAATGGGCCAACCATATACCTCGAGGAACCGACAACCGAAGGGGAAAATGTTTTCGAGTGGCAGCCTGGTAACGGTAGGCGAAGTATGGGACAGCTTAGAAATGGCCCCCACTAGATGGAGTGATGACCATGTAAGACATGCAGGAAGTTGATGGATGCAGGTACCTCCGGACCGTGCTTTCTGGCATTCTTTGGAGGAGGCCTTTATTCAGCATTTGCTGTCATAAGTCCACTACTGAACATGGGCCTCCTCCAAGGAATGTTACAAAGCACGCTCCTGAGCCAACTGCATGTCCAGCATTTGTGAAGTGCTATAATGATGATGATAATGATCATTAATAATTATGCACCATTACAATGGACAGCAACGCCAAAGGTGCGGGTCTGCTTTTTCACTCAACAACCTCTGAGTTGTGGTAAGAAAACTGTTAGGAAAGCCGCTCTGAAGGTGTTTTTGAAAAAAACAAACTTTTACACCCAATCCCGGAAGTTCTTTTTCTTTATTTCTCCATTATTAAAATAATACAAAATATGTTCAAAAGACGCAAACATAACAAAACTTCAGTTGTTTTTTTTTCAATAGCTTACAATGATTTTAATAACGTAAAAGAAGAGAATAAAAATTATAAATTATGATATGATAAATAAGAATTAATGTCAAGAATTTATCAATAAAGCATATTATTCATTTTTTCGTTACGTTATATTTTCGAAATTATAAAAAAAAAAAACATCGTAAATAATTAAACAATTAATTCACATTTATAACTAAAGAACTACTGGCGAAAAAGAGAACATAAAATAAGAATCCAAAAAATATTAATATTAATGTTTATTTCAAATACCAATAGACTCTAGGTATATTAAGCCCTGTTTTACAATGTTTTGACCCCACACTCGGTTGTCATTCAAATATTACTCTATACTTGTAAAAAAAATATATTTTTTTTCTTAAATAATAGCAAGTGGTAAAATTAAAAATTTTGTACAACCGAATTCAATATAAATAAAATGTGAACGTCATCAATGTAGTAGAAGACAGTTAAATACGCATAATAATGCGTATTTAATTGACTGAAGGATAAAAAAAGAATCATCAAACTCGGTTTACCTAGGCAAAAGTTCTGAGGTAACACATAAAAATACATACAGTCGAAATGAGTGCCTCCTCCTATTTTGAAGTCAATTAAAAATTTCACTGAAAAACCTATTAATTTATAATAATTAATAATATAATATAGGTACATAAATCTTATTTCATCGCGTAATCAATCGTTTGGTCAGTGCAAGACAATATTTTTACTGAGCACTAGCGATTTTCGTCCGATTTTTCCACGCAACACATACTCGTAAAGCGTGCGCAAAGCAGTTTTAAAAGAATACATAATATTTTAATTGTGAGCTGATTTAAATAAAATAAACAATAAATGTTAGCCCAAGCTAATCTAAATACATCACTGAAAATCACTTTCAATTCATTTAACCATAGTGGAGATAAGCGTGAACGCACACACAAACAGAAAAAATCCGTTTACGGTTTTATTATATTTGCAGATTACATTCAATGTTGTCTCATTTATTAAATAATAAATTATATAAAATAAATTATTTTTACTATCATACAAAATTTTGTTGTAAAAGCTTGAATATGCTTTAAAAATTTACAAACATACGTTATTCAGTAAAGGCACCAAGCTACTTAAAGATTCCGTGTAAAAATCCGGCTTCAAATGTGGATGCGCCATCATATCTGCACGCGTGTTGTTTGGAAGTAATAAAAGGGTTTTGAAACCAGCTACCTTGCCCAAGCCAACATCCTGTTTTATCCTGAAATTACAAAAATACATCATCTTCTATATAATATGTGTACGTAATATTGTACGAGGTAGAACCATGCTGCAGTTATATTAGGAGTATAGTTGTAGCACGAGTGGGTCGGCTTCACCGGGGACGGACCACGCTCTCACAGAATACCAGCGGGAAATAGTAGCTTAATGCTGCTTCATTTCGTATGGTAAGTGTAGAAAACCCGAGACCCTTTTTACTGGAAACGAGACATTTCATCTTAGTCCTCACGGGTGACAACGCGTCTGCATGTCGTCCGCATATTGTTACCAAGGGCTTTTTGAAAAAAAAAAAGAGTAACCGCCGACTAACAAAAATCTACCCAAAAAATAGGGAAACAAAAAAAAAAACTTTGTTTTGTGATCGAGGATACATGTATATGTCTATAGGCCGCAGCAACCACTTACCATCAGGTGGACTGAGCTCATTTGTCACCCTATCCTATAAAAAATACCAGCAGTGAAACCCTATTTCACCCTTAATTTTCCAAATTCTTTCCTTAGTGGGTGTTTATGTCGAGAAATGCGCATATATGCCAATTTCGAGTCAATCGGGCAAATAGTTTTGTAGGTCTCATTATGAGTGAGTGAGTTAGTGGCATTTCGCTTATAGTCTTCCATCCATCCATACATTGAAGCCTATAAATGTCCACCACTGGATATAGGCTTACCAAACAGATTGGACTAGATTCTCATAAGGGGGTATTTTGCCGATAATCGCAAGCCCGTCAACCGCAGTTTTTTTTATTATTTAGAGTTGTTATCAGGAAGATGCTGCTACTCGTCACCTGTTTCATTTTCCTTCTGTCGCCTCTAAGGACACCCACGGGACGATATGGGGTAGTGGGTATAAATGCCGTAGTTTATTAATGCCTTAGTGCTTACACCGCCACTACACGGCATATAATATACGTACGAATATAGACTATGGTAAGTTGACGGATACACATTGCTCTGAACCATGATTTGAGGAGTTTCTTAGGTGAGGCTTATGTACAGCTGTGGATAAGTAAGGAGGGCTGTATTGATAATGATTATATCAAATAAGAAGAAAAATAGATGCTGGAAAATTAATACATTTCTTTGCTGTACGCATTAAAAAGCAAACTAATTTGACCACCTGTTCTAATATGACCACCTGGTGGTCCGATGGTGGAAAAGAGAGGGAGCAATTATAGCTTGTACTTCTGCGCACACTCCACGCACCGAAATGCATCCTATAAAATGCTAAGCGGCTGGCTACTCTGCGCCTGTGCTCCAGGCTGATAAGATTGGTTTCAACCAAACCAAGGTCAATAATGAGCTTCTTAGCACGTTTCTCTACTGAGTCGAACGCTAATATGTGGCATAATGCAGCAGCAGCCCATATATGACAGCGGTACTTCATGCAAGACCGGACTTTCGCTTTATGTAAGGTAAGAAAATGCGCCAGCGTGAAGGACCGTCACACCCTTGAGAGGACACCTAGTTTCCTTGTGGCTGCTTTGGCTCTGGACTCAATGAATCGCCCATAGTTGAGGTTCGGAAAAAATTCAACCCGTAACAACTGAAGGCAGTCAGTGTATTTCAATCCTTTAAACATTCCAAAAAGTAGTAGTCAGTTTGAGCGGGCTCTTTTTAGCGGTTAAAAGACACGCTTGGGCTTTGAACGCTTTGAATCTCACAAAATTGGCATCGCCCCATTTGAAAACTGTCTGCATTAAGAGATTCGCACGCTCAACCATAGCTTCTCTTTCGGATTGGATTTGATCTCGACTGGTTAGAGCATTTGGCTGGCAGTTGAAGAAAGTTATGGAGAGATCGGATCTCTGAGTAACTCGAACGTTTGTCGCAATAGGACTAGCTGAGCAGCCATCCGTGACGACTCGGAGAGATCGTTGTCTTAGAAAGTCCTCCACCCAGTTAATCACGCCAATGGATAAGTCATACGCTATAAGCTTGCACAAAAGGCTAACGTGCCAAACCTCGTCAAAGGCCTTCGATACATTAAGGGATGGGATGCCCTAAACTTTGCCTGTTGGAACATGACTGCCACGCGAGAACCTTTCTTCCCTATCGGTTGTCGGATCTTTGAGCCATATGGCCGGCCCATTGCCATTTCAGCTTACTAACCCGTTGGGCTACGTCGGTTACTCTGGTTCTACTGCGGATATCCTCATTAATAAGTTTATCACTCAGAGAAACCCCGAACATGGCCCTCTCCATAGCTCACTGAGCAACCTTGAGCTTTCTCATACGGCCAGCAGTGAAGGACCACGTCTCAGATCCATAGGTCCTCAGATCCACTGGCAACATGCATTGGTTGTGCAATCTAGTTTTGAGGTTTTGAGGTATGCCTAATGAGAAGATGTTTCGTAATCTCCCGAACGCTGCCCAGCTGAGTTGAATCCGCCGATTGACCTCTCGGTCGAAGTTGGACTTATCTAGTCAGATTATTTGTCCCGGGTAAACACACTCGTCAACAACTTCGAGCTTAGTGCTCCCAACAACTACCGGCATATGTGTGACATGGACATTACACATGACTATTGTTTTGTCTATATTTATCTTAAGACCTATCCGCTGGGACACACTTATAAGGTCATTGAGCATAGTGCTTAGGTCCTCCAGCGATTCTGCTATAAGTATTATATCGTCTTCAAATCAAAAGTGAGTGATGTACTCGCCTTGATATAAATACCGAATCCTTTCCAGTCCAGTAGCTTGAAAACGTCTTCCAATGCAGCGGTGAAGTGTTTCGGGGATATTACGTCACCCTGCATTACACCTCTCTGCAAATGGTTAGGTTTCTTACTCTGGTCGTGTACTCGGAGTCACCGTTGCCCTACTATTCAAATACTTCAGCACTGCCACAAATAATTAAACATAATATATCGTAATATTTAATAAAATAGTGGCAAATATGACAGAAAATCAACAAAAGTTTATCTACCTACCCATGATATAGGCCATTTTTTTATAGAATAAGGGTATCAACCAAGCACATAGTCTACCTAATAGTAAGTGGAAATTGCGGCTTATAAAATTCTACATTTATCTTGGATAAATAAACTCCTGTCAAGTGGTTGATTGAAGCACATACGCTTCTCAAATTTTATTTGTGTAAAGTGCAAATACTGTGATTCTGTGCTCTAAAATAAATTTATTCTGCAGTGAAAGTGCCTAAGACTCCACATTAATGTTTTTCAATATCGAAACTAACTGTGAACCGTGTAAAAACAGTATCTAAAACTAAAAATTCTTTTCGGCGAATAATTGAATATTTTCTACCCACGAATACAAAAGTTATATTTATGTCGTATTAAAATCTGTGGACACTGTTTATATAATTGACATCCGCTGTCATTGTAAACTCATCAAATCACTTCATTTATAAATGTTGCCATAATATAAGAGTTGTCGTTCTACCAATAAAAATAAAATAATTCTACCAAATTACATCTTCGGATTTCTCGTAAGTTTTTCATATATTTGTAACCAACAACGTACAATTGAACTCGACAGCTGGCAGCCGATAGAACTAATAACCCACAGTGATTAAGATCACCTCCACTGAAGTCTTCTGCCTCTCGCTCATTATTAGCATAACAGCTGTTGTTGCAAACAATAATCGCTATATAAGGCATTAGGGTGTAAGCAGGAGTATTAATTCCTAAAAAGTATAATAAAATGTCACTCGTGCAACGTACTCCGCCACCTGTATCCGAGAGTGGATTACTACAAGTGCCATGCGTTACGAGGATGAAATTGAAAACTCCAACGTTTCTACACGCAAAAAGCGCCCACGTCTTGATGGATCACCATAAGACGAATATTCTAGGCTGAAAAAAGATATACAACAGATGTTTAAGAACTGGGCAGCTGAACAAAAATCCGATTTGACAGCAAAATAGCGTTATACAAGAGACTTTTGGAGATATACAAATTTAAAAAGATAACTAAATTAGAATAAAAACCTTCCGAGTACACTGAAAATTTAATGAAAAGGGAAAGAAAAATACACGCCATCTACATGTTAAATCCCGCACGGCATCAATAGAAATCAGAAATATGGGATATCCCTATGCAAGATAGGGAGATGACCGACGACCTGCTTTCCATAGGAAGCGGCGTATCTAATGCTCCGCATATTCCCATCAAACACGATTAAATCCGAATCCATTGGAACGATAAAATATCGTGGAGCGTGTAACAGGCGCACAAAACAATATATTCATAGATACTTCATAAAAAGAAAAAAGAAATATATATCCATTATTGTAATATACCTATATATATGTCTAAGAATATTTACCTCCAAGCTCCAAAGCCCCATTTCGTAAAGCTAGAATGTACGCCAAAGACAATAATTACCAATATTACTGGACGACTAATGGCCAAGTTTTTATCCGAAAATTGACTGGTGAAAGGGCTATTAGAATTGATTCTGATATTTGTTTTTCTCTCTAAGCCAACTGAAGCGGAGAATACAGAACCCAATCCAGAAATTTCATTCCAGAGCGATTTGGGGAAATTTAGTCAGCAGAATTAAATTAGGCATATATGAATTTAGAATATGTCTTCCAAAACATGTTCTGTTACTCATTTTTTACAGTAAATTTAAGTATGTGTAGGAAATCTTGTAAGTTAATTTTAAGAACAACTTTTAAAACAATTTATGATACTGTGGATACACTTCACTACTATACTCACACTCACCTGGACATCCTCACTTTACTCACCCCAAATATCATCGTGCAAATACTATTCAAACACATAAACTCAATTATAACCTCACTCTTACTCATAAAAATCAAAGTAATAGCTCTTTTACTCTCATTTCACAATAATATAAACCAAGTACGTATAACAATAATAAGTGCCAATCTATCAACCTGTTCGCAGTAGTTGATGCAAATGAAAATATCTTAACAGAGTTAGACAACATAGATGTAGCATTGGCTTATGAGTGCGACACTGAAACATGTAACTCGCTCATTAAAA